GGAGAGAGAGAGAGAGACTCTTCCTCTTATTTTTCATGAAACATCAGATCGGAAACGCGGAGGAGAAGGGCGTGGACGAAGGGCATATGTCGCGAAATATGTCGACGATGAGCGTCGTTTCGAACTCGTCGGTCGAGGTCGACTCGGATTCCTCGAACGACGCGTCGAGCAAGGACGATGGACCCGCCGAGCAGAAGTTCATCCTGCGCAACGAGCTGTACAACAGCCTACTCGCGAGCGCCCTCGGGAAGACGGTGCTCAACAGGCACCTCAACTTCAAGGAGCAGGGGATTAATTTTAATCTGGCCAATCTGAAAGATAATCTGAACGCGCTCGGCGCCCTTAAGGAGCTCAAGGATCTCAAGGGCTTGACCGTGAGCAGCGTCCCGGCTTTCCCGAGGAATCTAGCTCTCCACAGGGAGGACCATGACGAGGTCAGAGTCTTCTTCTCTTCGAACTCTCTTCTTATCGTATTGATTTCTCTTGTTTTTTTTCTTTTTTTCTTTTTTTTTCTTATCGAAGAAATGATTCGAATTTTGGTTTTCCTTCTCCCCCACCCTCTTTGTTTTTTTATTCTCGTCGAAGGATCTCGCCGTTGGCTCTTCTCTTCTTTCGAGATTTTGCGAGTAACTGGAAAAAGGATTCGAGATTGGCGGGAGATAGAATGGTCAGGGAAAGGAATAGAGAATTTTTTAATCGAAATTTGTAGGATCGAAGCTTGAGGGATCGTTTGAAGGATGACTGAAAGGGGGTTTCGTTTAATTCTCGCAGAATCGTTCGTAAAGATCGTTTCCACGGGCTCCTTTCGACGGCGTGAATCACAATTATCGTGGAGAGCGTGGGTGACACGCGATAGCACTTCGTAAAAAGTAGAAAAGTTTCGCGGTAAACAGTTGCCCTCTCCTCAAAACCCGTTCCAAACTTGCAGCATCAAGATCAATAATCCCCGAAAGATTCCAAAGGTTCCTCACTGACCTATCCTTTTTCTCGCGATTTCGAGCAAGCCAAAGCGAAGGAGGAGGAGGAGGAGGAGGAAGAAGAAGAAGAAGAAGAAGAAGAAGAAGAAAACAAATTCACAAATTCTGCCAAGACAAGAAAACGGTCGAAAGTACTCTCGAGCAAACAAATCAATTCTTCTGCCGAGAGGAAAGAGTTAAAAATTTTTCGACGAACTTTATCTTTAAAGAAAGGATGGAGGGGAGAGAAAAGAAGAAGAAGAAGAAGAAAAAAAAGATAGAAAAATATCGCGACTCTACACGTCTCGATGCGTGTCACACATGTATAACACAAACGCGTTCCACTTTTCACGGAGAAGTGGACGGAATCCATATCCACAGTTGGGAAAGAATCACGCGACGTTTGACACATAAGTCTTGTCGAGTCGAAAAGTTACTCGGGCTACTTAGGTAGGATAACCTAATGTAATATGGGCACGGAAAACAAAGAGAGATTTCGTAGCTCGAGCCAGGAAGAAAAATCCTGTGTTTGCTTGACAATTACTTCTTCTCCCTCCATCGATTCTTCGATTCTTTTCCAACTACTTTGTCACTCTTCGCCCCTCCCACTTTTCCTCTCCCTTCCTCGTTTTTCTTCTTCCTCTTAAATCGTCCCCCTCTCCTCTTTAATCCCTCGTTGAAAGACGAAATCCTCGTGAGAACAATTAACTTGTTCCCCGTTCGATATATTAATATTGATACGAGCATTCGAAGTGACGAAAATCTTGGACACGCGACAAAGTCTAGTCACACTTTCCTTTCCAACTTCTTTTCGGTTCTTGGATTAGAGATCGAGACGTATACGGCCAATTGTATACTCGTATACCCGTGTTTTTAGCCGCGTGAAACAACACTGTTTCGAAATGGTTGGCGCGGCGAGACAAGGGAAGTAGTGAAATTTTTCCGCGGCTTAATTCATTAACGGCGCACTGGTGGCACTCCGTCGACTTCCTGTTGCTTCCTTTTGCTCCTGGCCGAGTTATCGCCGCGAGGCAACTTTTCTTGGCACGTTCGCGGTTTTGGCTCGGCTCGCTTGATTCCACGACGACCGACCGACCGACCGACCACTCTTGACCCAAATCCATGACGCACTTTTCCCCTGGTTTGTTTTCTCTCTTTCTCTCTCTCTCTCTCTGTCTTTTTTCACTCCCCCCCCCCTCTCTTCTCTTTCTGTTCGCGAACGACGACGCCGAAACGTCTCGGTGAAAAATACACAGTTCATTTACGCTTACGAATTATTTGCTTTTTTTTTTTTTTCACGGCTGGTAATAATTGTTACATCTCTTTTTCTCTCTCACTCTCTTTCTTCGCGCGTAAAAATTTCGAAAATTCTTTCTTCTAACGAGTAGAAGAGAGAATTCGATAAATTTTTTTTTTTTTTCTCTCTTTTTGGAGATTTGAAGGAAACATTAGATTTTATATAAATTTGAAATCGGGTTCCTCGAATCGGGCGGAAATTTTTCTCCTTCGTTCGTTGTAAAAATGTTTCCAATTGTTTTTCGATTGTTCATCGAGAAACGAGTTGTACAACTCGATACAACAAATACTTATTTCGAAACTTTCGATTGAGTAACCGCTTCGATATTTAATCGATATATTTTTTGTCGATCGAAAATTTAAACGATACGGAGAGATTCTCGAACTGCTCCCCTTCCTTTTTTTTTTTTTTCTCATTAATTCGTGACACATTTTGAAAAACGCGTGATAAATATTTCTCAGTTCACGAAATAACTCGAACTCCGAGAGAAATTATATTCGGAACACGGATGGAAATGGAAGGAAACGCGTGGAACAAGCGTTTCGACCGGATTCCTCGATCCCTTTGGAAGAGGAATCGTATAACCATCGCGCTTTTATCGTGGACGAAGGAGAGGAGAAAAATGTGGCGGTCGGTTGGAGAACGGTTGTAATTAAGTGCGGGGCAATAATGAAACGCATCATCCCCCTCGGCCGAAGAAATAACAGCCCTTCGGGGACCCCCTTTCGGGATGGCCCTTTGAGCAGCCACCAATCCGATTTCTAACGAGCTTTCTCACGCGTTAGACGATCGATTAACAAATCTAAATCTGCCTGGTGGTACGGTTAATCACCCGTAATTACTCGGATTTGATGGACGTGGTAAAAGAAAAAAAAAAAAAAAAAACGGGGGAATGAAATTGATTTTAACGAGAAATTGACTTAACCTTTTTTGCACTCAAAATTTTCCATTTCCTATTGAATTGTAACAATTTTTATTTACGCACAAACGAAAGTTTAACACGATTTTTGACAAAATCTAATACTAATTGTTTCGTACATTTGGATACGCGTTTTAAATTGGTAATTTTAATCTGAACAATTGGACTACTTCGTTGTTGTTGCGCGTAAAAGCATGTATCTTGATACTTGACACGGTTACAATTCACATGATTCCTTGTGAACACTACATGAAGGTAACACTTCCTAAGTATAAGACTATAGACGTCGCATTGCAGAAAATGTTAACGACTCTTCTACAAACCGGAATTCTATTTGCGTTTAAAAGAGAGGGATAAAAGCATCATTCTGTAATCTTTGAAATAATAGCCATGATAAGAGGATTATGTTCAGTGTATAACAATGACGTAACGTAAAAATTTGAATTTTATTTTCCAACCTTTTACTTCTAACACGATTCTTGCTCGCATTGTTAGCATTTGTCAAAATCTTATCCGAACAAACTTTTTTCCTCTTTTCCTTGTTTTTGTTTAAATTATTGAATCGATGGATCGATCGTTAAATTGAAAATTTACACTCGATAATTAGAAAAATATGGAAATTATGGAAGGGACACGTGTCAAATATAAGAAATTAATATCGCATCACGTGGATAATCAACGATTATCGAGATCAATTCCATTCATTATGCTCATCGTTCATCGACGTGATTGAAGGGCCGATAAAAGTCGAAAATGAATATTCGAATTTTCGAATATTGTTTCTGTTGAGAAGGTGGAAGGAAGGTTGTGGCGGTTGGACGACGTATCGATTCGCCATCATCTGACGTTTTTCCGTTCGGTTTCTCTCTCGTCCCGATGAATTTCTCATTGGGAACGAGTCGATAGGCACGATCGTTGCGCAATTACCTACACTCGAATTCGCGGGGAACGATTTATTCTCGAGCGTCCGTCCATTGGTTGGATCGAGGCACGCGTTTACTTTCGTCCGGGAAGAATAAATAGATTTCTTAATCCTTTCTTTTTCCGTCCCCTGTCAATTATCCTCCCTATCCTCCCAATTTTTTCGCAATTTACCTTCATCGATACGTACGAGTGATTCCCTTCTTTGCACTTCTTTGTTCGATCAAAATTGAAAGATGGAGCTTTTTTTTTTTTTTTAAAAACTTAAAGTGATTCTTATCCCCTCTTGAAAAATCTCAAGCCTCTCGAGATGAAAATTAGGAAAGAATTTCCATTAGAATTTGTGACGCGATGAAGAAGAAATCGCGATGATTTTCGAAAATTTAATTCAATATCCTGAAAGCTCGAGATTTATCAGCAAACAATGATCCTCTCGTAGATAGGGATTTTTAAATATTTGAAAAAAGAAAGAAAAGGAAAAGTATATACCTCTGGATTATTTTAAACAAAGCTCGCAAGTTTAATCGCTCGCCGCGAGCAAAATGTATCGCGGAGCAACTTAATCGGAAAGGGGATCTCGGTTTAGCCCCGGTTCAGGTGTCCAGGCGCCATCCTCGATCTGATTTATCGATCAATTTATTAATGGGTCAACTCTTCTCGTGCGTTCGATCATGAATATCCGATGAAGCGGCCAGGACAGACGAGGAAGCCTCATAATTACTGTGATTAATGCTCGTATCGCGGCGATTAATTCGCCTGGCCGAGTTTATTCTCGAAAATCGTGGGAAAAATCCATCTTCTTCTTCTTCTTCTTCCTCTTTCCATTCATTTTCCATCTCCCTTCCTTAATTCCCTTCCTTTCCTCTCTTGTAATCTCTTCTTTTTTTCAACGCGAACAACAAGCAAAAGCAAAATCGCAATAATAACGCATCCTCTTTCAAACCCCCTCCCTCCCTCCCTCCCATTCCTTTTCCTCCACCCTTACATTCTTTTTTTTTTTTTATTCTTTTCTTTCTCAATAATACTACACGAACATTTTTTGGAAATTATTTCTCGTCCATGGACGAAAAAAAGTTTCTTCTTCACCGAGAGAAAAGATCCTCGAAATCCCATCCCCCTTCATACCCTTATACGCTAAACCTTACCACGCGCCGTCAAACGACGGTTTTTGAAATTTCTTCGTTTAGAATTCCTTGTATACAAAGTTGCTGTATCGCTGACTTTTTCTATAATGCAGATACAACAAGAATTTTTCAATATTCACAACTTTCTGTTATCGTTCACTTTCACGAATCCAATTAGCTAAAATCTCATTCCACATTAAGATACAAATGTTTTTTTTTTGCATTTCACCGCTCATGGTGTAAGGAATAAGTGTCACCACGAAATGTCGGATAGGTTTAGCGTTAATCGATTAAGATTATTAATTAACACCATCGTTTTCTTTCTTTCGTTTCGCAGAAAGCCTCTTTCGCGTGGTCAGAGGGAGGCGAGGAGGGTGGTGGAGGCGGCGGCGGAGGGGGAGGAGGGGGGAGGAGGGGGGAGGAGGGGGAGGCGGCGGAGGCACGGCCGGGGCCGGAACCGGGAACACGGGCCCAGCCGCCAGCGGGGGCGGTGGATTGGCCCATTGGGTCAGCGTGATGGCGGAGCACATCCACAATCCACACTCGGCCACCGGGGTGGGCGGTGTCCATCATCAGCAACAATCACCCCCTCAACCACCCTATCCGTGGAACAACGGCCTCTCCGGTGATGTGAGTACAGTTTTTTGTTTTAACACGATTTATTTTCTTTATACTTTCTTTATATTTTTTTTTCTTTTCGCCTCTATAATTTAACGAATCGAATCATTTGCGTTACGATATCTTTATTTCGACGATATGTATATATATATATATATATATTAGAGAGAGAGATTTTCTTTTAACGAGAGATATCAAGAAATACGTTCGTTTTTTTTTTTTTTTTAGAAAGGAGGAAAGATCGGTAGATTGGTTTTTGATTCGTTGTAATTTTAAAATAAAAGAAAGTGATTGAAATTAAGGGACGAAGAGCGTATATATCCGTGCACGATATTGTTGCAAGTTGAATCGAATTATGATTGTTGAATTTTCTTGGTAAATTAATAATTAATAATGATTTTGCAATATTTGTCTTGTTCAAAGTTTTGAAATCGTAAATGATAATTTCTGTTTTTAATTAAAAAGAAAAAAATAATATAAGAGAATAAGAATTGGTTAAAAAATTTTAGGAATATAAAAATTGTCTTACGAATAACGTTTGTAAAGAGAGTAAACGAGAGTTCTATCTATATTAATAATCGTTTCGTGAAATTTATTTATTATTTAAGTCGGTCTATCGCGCGATTGTTTCCGTCCAAATATTTATCTTTTCCATTGATTGGAACCTGTTCGCGGAATCGTCCGCCTCGGGAGGTTACTTGTCGAATATACGCGTCGAAATTTTCATAACACAGGAGATCCAGTCGTACTTCTGTTTCCTTAGTGCGTAGTCTCGCGTGTCGCTCGTCGTGCCGTCGAATATTATATCGCTCGTATCCAGAATTCGAAGGTAGGATTTTTATTTCAAAGCGTATATTCTTTATACTTTTTATTACTTACTTCTTTTCTTTTTTTTTTTGTATATCGCGGTACTCGAAATACAATGATGATGTTAGATTGATCGATAAAGTTCTGTTGATCGATACATTTTTAAAATTCATTTTCGAAAAGAATTTGTCCAACATTTTTGTTAATAAGGAAATAAATCGGAATAGTAGTGGAAATACTTGTTGTTGTTGAGAATTTAAATATTTATCGTGTATATAAATTCATTGTATTTTGTGAAATTGTCAAATGAAAGAATTGTAATTTAGATAAACTAATTAATGGAAACTTTCGATCAAAAGAACCGACAGAATTTTCGATCAATCTAATATACTCTTAACTTATACGTCTCTTTCTCTGCTCTTATATAAATACTATATTCTTGAAACTTGAAATTCAAGAAATTTGAAACGTTGGAAAAATAAATCTAATAGTAAAATCGAAAATCCCAGTAATGAATCAGTAGATTCCAAAATTATAATTATTAATCGCGAAAAATTGTTAAAAGAATTTTTAAAATGCAAAATTTGGATGAAAACATTAGAAAAATTGGAATCTTCGTCGCCGATCGTTCCAATCTTCGTTTCCAATCGCGATTCTACGTTATAATCTCCGCATCGAATTTAAAAAATTCCCCTCTTTTCGTAGTCGAATTAATATATCCGTGGAAAAACTTTTTCGTCGAAAACGAGTCGTACAAGTTGGCCGTGATGATATAATTCGAGAATTAATTTTATACACGATATTATTACACGAGTAATTACGAGGCAGAGACTAGTTAATTGGCAACAAAGAGACCGGTGGAGTTTCAATCAATCGAAATTTTTACGACCGCGACTCGTTTTCTTCCCCCTTTGCTCACTTTATATATATTGAATAAACGATTGCAGAATCGTTTCCAACCGGATGTCTTCGTCCAAGATTGTATCTCTTTATACTTTTATTAGTTTATCTATATATTTCTACCTCGAACTGGTTCTCTACGAATAATTGTGAATAAGATCGAGTCAATTTCGAGAGATTAGGGGAGATGGAGAATTATTTTTGCGAAAGGGATAGTTTTATGGAATCTCGGACGAGTTTAATCCGATTTCGTATTTGGTATAAAGTTTTTTAGCACCGATAAATAATATCGTTGGAATAATTTTGATCCTCGATAACGATGCATAATCGTAAAGTCATGTATCTGTATTTTTTTCTTGCTAAAATCTTATAATATATATATATATATAAAACAATATACAAAAACAAATAAAAGAAAAATTTTTCAAAAAGAAAACGAAATTAACAAAGAACAAGATAAATTTAAATATATATATATATTATATATTTATCTTCCTTTGCTAATTTTCTTCTCTTATTGAAAAACATTTGATAAAGTTTTAGACAAGATACACCTTTATTAGATCATTTATGCGTTGTGCAATCTTATTTCTCGTTTCAAAAAAAAAATATCAACTCGTTTCGATGATTGTGTTTGCGTTTGCTCCAGTAACGTTCTACTTCTTCTTTATTTGATTTTTTTTCTAAACTGTCTCTCTAAAAAAAAAAAAAACAATCTGAGAAAGCAAACGGTTTTTTAACGGACGAGACATCTAGAAAAAAAAGTAGTGGATGAAGGAACAGGAGTATTAAAATCGCCCCCGGAAGACGACGCGCCGGTTAACTCGCGATGTCGACGAGGAAACGCGCGAAAAAAAAGGATCTCTACCCCTTTCCTTTTTTTTTTTTTAAGTTAGGTAGTAGTACCCTTATTTTAATCTCTCTCTCTCTCCCCTTCCTCCCCGTGTTTCCGTACGAGAGTCCTGCATAATTTGGAGAAGAGGAAGAAAAGAGTTTAGAGGGAAGACAAAAAAGTCTGTGGATGCTGCGTGAGGAAGAACAAAAAAAAAAAGAAAAAGAAGAAGAAGAAGAAGAAATTGATGGATGGTGAAAAAAAGGTTGAAGATCGCTTTGCATACCTCTTGCTCCGCCCTGAGGCGGTAGAAAAAAAAAAACAAACAGACGGAAGCGCGAAAAAAAAATGAGAGAAGGGTTGATTTGAATGTACGCGCGGATTCGAGGACGCGCCGTTAAGGGTGAAACTCTCCTTTCGACCGCGAAACGGCACCCTTGGGTCTCTTCTTAGAGGAGAGACCCCATTTTTTTTCTTCTTTTTTCTTCGTCTTTTTGGCGCGATTGTTTTGCCTTCCCGCGAAATAACGATAAGAAGTATCTTTGGCTTTCCGTGTATCTTTCTTCTACAATACGACTCTACGACTCAGAAATAGTTCTTTAGAAGAAATAGTACGTTTCATAAAAATTGATCGTTCAGCGCTTTCCAATCTCTCCTTGTAACCGTTTAAAAAAATTTCTATCGAATAATTTTAACTTCGACTTGTCACGATCGATCAATAATCAATTCCAATTGCAAATTCCGATTTTGCGAACCGAGAGGAGGAGCAGTTGATGGAAAAAAAATTTTCTTCCAACTTGAAACAACTTTCTGGAAGGAGAAGAAAGAAAATTCTCAAAAACACTTTTCGAATCGCCGTGACTTGAACCGAGTTCAAAAGACTCGAGAAAGAAACGTTACGTCCACGTGTCCAACAGCAGAATTCTGGTTCACGAACTCGGGAACGTGATGATGACCGGCCAGGGTGCCCCAGGGGTGGTGGATTCAGGTGGCGGGGATGCGGAAGACGCTTCCGTGGGTTCTCTGTACGAGGATCAGCCGGTTTTTTGTTGTCTAGCCTCGGGACCCACGCCGATACCCACTCTTGGAGAGAGAGTGGAAAAAACAAGGAGCCACGACAATAAGGGGACGATTTAAATAATCCGCGGCATGCAAATGCCCCGTACATTCTCACGGAACGAGCGTCCCGACGCGGAGGAGGGGAGGCGAGAGGAAACGAAAAAGAAGAAAGGAAGACAGAGGCGAAGACAATCGGGCAATCTGCATACGGACTCATACGGGTACCGACCCCTTCGAGTGTCGTGAGGATGATCGACGGAGGAATCTAATTGAGGGATCCTTTGGATTTTCCTCTCCTTCCTTTGTTTCTCCCGTAACGTTTCTTCCCGAAGAGATTTTGTAACCGAACTTTCGACAGAGTTAATTCTTTGGGAAATGACCGTTGGAAGTTGCATGCGAGAAAAAAGTCTTGACAGGATGGGGGATTTGTAGAGTTCTTTTTCTTTTCGAATCTTTGGACGATTGTTTTTTTTTTTTTTCTTTTTCACTTTTGTCGAGAAGAGAATATTTGGAAATAAGGGAAGAGCTCTTTTGTTTTATTTTTAGAAGGATAAGAAGATATCGTTTAATTCTCTTCGTCGACGAATTAATTTCATTTCCCTTCTTCTAATTTCCATTGTATAAAAAAAGAAAAGGGAGAAAGGGGAAGGAAGGGATCTCTTCTCTTTCTTCGAACTTAAAATAGATAGTTCTGTTCGGAAGTTCGTTTCGAAATAAAAAAATTTCTTCGATTTAGAACGCTCGAACCTCCTTGCGCTTTTAGCGGAAAAAAATTACAATTCCCCGATACGAGAAAACGTATTCAATCTTACGAGTGAAGAGAGAAAAAAAGAAGGGGGAGGGGGAGAGGAACTCTCGAAAAAGAAAAAGCACTCGAGGAAGGAATACTAGGTCAAACCTGGTTCTATCCGAAACTAGAGCAAGGCCACGCTCTGCGCCCCGTGCATCAGAGAACAAGGGGGGTTGAAGAGGAAGAGGCAACGCTGAGAGGTGCCCCTGTAAACACGTTTTCGGATGTTGTAATCTGTCGCTGGTTTCGCCCAGCGGGTGGTCAACCCTTTTTCCATGCTTTTTTACGCCTGCCCGACCTTAATCCCTTAAAACGCTTAGAGCAGCTCTTTAGGGTAATTTCTTCGAAAGGAGTAGGGGAGGTTAAACTATCGAGGGGTGGTTGAATTCATCCGCCGAAGGCGAAGATGCAAAACACCTTGGAAAACACCGGCCCGAAGCGGCTAACTGGAACACTGCCGCGTGAGAGTCCCGCAAGAAGCTACCCCCATGAAGATTATGCAAAAAAAGATTCTTCCACCCCTTTAACCACCGGTTTCCTCTCGTTCCACTACCCCTGCGCCACGCTCTGCCGGGACGAAAATTAAAATAATGGCCGTGCGCGCCTGCTGCCAATTTTTATCCA